GTGAGTGAATGGTTAAGCTGTGCTACAGATGTGCCAAGAAACACTACTCAGTGATAAAGAGGATGAACTATGGACATACAAAACATTTGGGATGGATCTCAAGAGCATTTAGGTTGAGTGAAAAAAGCCAGTCTCAGAAAGTCACATACTGTATAATTCCATTTATATAACATTCTCAAAATAATAAAATTACAGAAATGGGGAACAGATTCATGGCTGCCAGACATTGGGGATAATAATGGGATTGGGTGGATGGATGACAGTCACTAAGGAGAGTTCTGTGGTATATCTTGAATACAGTGTTTGGGTTACTTGAATCTGCATATTTGATAAAATGGCATATAATTATATACATACATTGTACCAATGTCAAGTTTCTAATTTTACTATTGTACTACAGTTAATGTAAGATGTAGCCATTGGGGGAACCTGGGTGAAGGGTTCATGGACTTCTCTACAGTCTTTGTAATCTTCTGTGAATATTATTATTTCAAAATAAAAATTTTTCTAAAAAAACCATAAATACCACAACAATAGCATTGTTTTACATACGAAATACTTTGGAATAAACTTCACAAAATACATCAAAGACCTGTCATCAAAAACTACAAATCACTGCTGACAGAAATTAAAGAACTAAGTAGAGATACACTGTGTTCATGAATTAGAAAACACAATATTGTTATGCTGTCAATTATCCCCAAACTGATTGTAAGCTCATTACAAACCTCATCAAAATATATGAATAGTCAGGTAACATGTGAAAAATTGCTCCACCTTACTAATAATTAGGAAAATGTAAATAAGTGCATTAGCATGATGACATACTGTTTGTCATCATCATATTGGCAAAAATTTCAGTCTGAATAACATACCAAATGTGGAAAAGTAGTAGTCTCATATACTGCTGGTAGAAATATAAAATGACACATTCACCAGAAAAACAAGATAATAGCATCGACTCTACTAAAAACACACATACTCTTTAATCAGCAATTCCAAAGAAATTCTTAAACATGTGAATTTGGAGACATTTACAGGAATGCTGTCGGCACCGCTGTTTGTAAAGATGAAAACTGAAAACATATCCAATGAGAGAAATAATTAAATAAAAATAGTATATTTATTTGTATGCTGCAATAGCATGCAGCACTTAAATTGAATAAACTAGATATAAGTATAGAAACATGGGTAGAATTAAAAGACATAAAGTTGAGTTTAAAAAGCAAGATATAGAAAGATGGTACACAGTATGCACTGAGGTCAGAATTGTGTACCCCAGCCAAAAAAATTCATAGGTTGAAGCCCTAACTTTCGGTATGATTGTGTCTGGAGATAAGGTCCATAAGAGGTAATTAAGGTTAAATGAGGTCACATAGGTGGGGCCTTCATCTGAAGGAACTGTGACCTATAAGAAGGGAAAGAGAGAGATCTCCTTACCTCTCCACCTGACGGCACAGCAAGAAGGAAGCCATTTATAAGCTAGGGACAGAGCTTACATCAGAAACCAAATCAGCTGGGACCTTGATTTGGGATTTCCAGCCTCCAAAATTGTGAGAAAATAAATTTCTGTTGTTTAAGCCACCCAGTCTGCAGTACTTTGTTATAGTAGCCCAAGCAGACTAATATAATATGGTACCATTTAAGTTAAATACTTAGCAAAAAGTGCTTTGTATTGTTTATGAATATACAAGTATAAAACAGTTACATTTAAAAAGAGCTGGAAGAATGTACCTCAAACTTAATGGTTGCTTTTGGGGATGGGAAGGGTAACAGAACTCAGGGCTAGAGTTAAGAGACTTTACTCTTTCTGCAACATTTTATTTCTTACGGAAAAAAAGCAAATTTTGACCTGTGCGAATATGAACATTCATTATATTACTTTTGTATCTTCAATATCTCTTAAATTTCTTCCAAAAAAATAGAATAGGCATAAGTTTATAAATAAAATACATTACATGGGAGCAGTTACCCCTTTTGACCCAAAGAAAATAAATAAATATAGAGCTAGGTGAATGGATGAAAGAATGGACAGACCAACAAATAGGCAGGCTGGGCAATTTATGATTTATATTCTCAAATTTCAGTCAGTGTATCACTCTGTAACAGTAATACTGAAAATGCTACCCCCGGTACGTAGTATTTTTCATTTACCCATTCATTCATTCATTCCTCATTTATTAAGTAAACAATGATTAATAATTGAGCATGTACTGGACACTGTATAACGGCTTATGAGACACAAATAAGACGAGGACTGCAGTCCAGTGAGGATGACAGACGCAAAAGCTTATTCACAAGACAACATAAAGCATTATCCAAGAGGGGTAGGAATGTTACTACAGCGGGTGCAAACTGCTGGTGTTGCCTAGTAGCATCAAGGAAGCTTTCACATAGAAAAGATAGCATTTGAGATGAATTCTGAGAAATTCAAACCAAGTCTGAAACCTCTGACTGCAAGGCTTGAAAGCCAGTAAAATGTGTATTTTATAACTTTCCTGTACTTCCCCCAGACCAAATTCATCTATAAAATCCATACGTATCACATACTTTTTAAAAGTCTGATTAAATCCAAAATGAGGCTTGTCTCACCTTTGAAAATTTTTCATCTTCTATGACTGCCAATTTCTTTTTCTGCCTCTTATGTTCTTGTCTTCTCTCTAAAACACTCATAATTTTTTCATCAGTTAAGTTCTTCCTAAACTCACAGAACTGAGGCCAAAATTTAAACAGAACCCCAAAAATTGTCATCTGTGTAAAAAACAAAGTATGTCTCGGATTACAATTTTATACAAATGTACCAATTTAAACTCTAATTCACCATAATAATGGATTAACTATTCTATCTTTAATATACAGCATGTTTCCTCCAACTTATTGTCTCCAGACATCTTGGTATAGTTTCGCTCAGCACATGCTTATCATCAGTGCTTTTTATTACCAAGGAGAAGTCTTTCTTTAAAAAAGCCATACACTTAAAAGTCACTTTATTCTTTATGTATCCCTAACCAATTGACTGTATTAATAAAGAATCCATTAGGTCTTTTTAAATAAGAAATTTATGTTTTCTTTTAAAACATATACTAGTTGCTCTGCCACACACTCTGTTGCTGTATGCAAGTATTCCAAATATTCAGTTCATCAAGAGGAACTCCTCTCTGCCCCCTCTTTCTTTCTTTTAGAGAAAGGAAATACATCTTGCCTCTGGAAAAGTTCTTAAAGTTGCAGATCTAAGAATAAATCTTGAGTAACTTTTAAATGATATAATCTCTCTTTTATGTGAGAGCAAGAAGAGTAACATTTAAGTAGAGTGGTATCCTGGACAAATGCTTTCTATGAGGACACTTTACATTAAGTGATTAATTGTGATATTTATAGAGATAAGAACTGTTGCTCAAACCCATGTCAAGTTTTTCCATTAGTTCCAGAGGCATACGTTACTTCCAAGAAGGTAGAACTTGCCATATCAGATCAAGTCCAACATCTTGTTGCTGGGAATAGCCTTTACCTAATGCCCTGGCAATAAAGGAACCATCCCATTAGGCTCCAAGCCAACTCTTCAAGGGAAAAGAGGAATTTTTAACAAGTAAATGCTGCAACAGAGTCCTGAGTTGGTGCATTTCATTGCTCTTCATTTCTGTACATGAATACTGTTAGTAATTTCAAAATTATTTACTCTTTTTAAAATGTAATTTTGTCATTGAATTCTGTAGCCTCTTGGGATTATGAACATAAAAGCTATAGATATTTTAATGAAATGTAGCCTTTTAAAACATTTGCATTTACATCTACTTGCCATGTACTTAATGAAGTAATCCCCTGTCCCATGTAGTTTTTATATGAACTTAAATTTAAGTATTTCTCCTCCTCTATTTACCAACTATTGACCCTACTTTTCAGGTATTTCTCCAAAATCTGAGTTATTCGCAGCCCTTGAATATATTTATTTCCATCTAGGAGGCCTTCCAGCAAAAGTCAACCGATTAGGACACAATTTTTCCATGGCAGACAAAACTACTACAGAGTTGCAGTAATGATTTTAGGTTAACATACATGTTATTCTTAGCAAAAAGTGCTTTGTATTGTTTATGAATATACAAGTATAAAACAGTTACATTTAAAAAGAGCTGGAAGAATGTACCTCAAACTTAATGGTTGCTTTTGGGGATGGGAAGGGTAACAGAACTCAGGGCTAGAGTTAAGAGACTTTACTCTTTCTGCAACATTTTATTTCTTAAGGAAAAAAAGCAAATTTTGACCTGTGCGAATATGAACATTCATTATATTACTTTTGTATCTTTCAATATCTCTTAAATTTCTTCCAAAAAAATAGAATAGGCATAAGTTTATAAATAAAATACATTACATGGGAGCAGTTACCCCTTTTGACCCAAAGAAAATAAATAAATATAGAGCTAGGTGAATGGATGAAAGAATGGACAGACCAACAAATAGGCAGGCTGGGCAATTTATGATTTATATTCTCAAATTTCAGTCAGTGTATCACTCTGTAACAGTAATACTGAAAATGCTACCCCCGGTACGTAGTATTTTTCATTTACCCATTCATTCATTCATTCCTCATTTATTAAGTAAACAATGATTAATAATTGAGCATGTACTGGACACTGTATAACGGCTTATGAGACACAAATAAGACGAGGACTGCAGTCCAGTGAGGATGACAGACGCAAAAGCTTATTCACAAGACAACATAAAGCATTATCCAAGAGGGGTAGGAATGTTACTACAGCGGGTGCAAACTGCTGGTGTTGCCTAGTAGCATCAAGGAAGCTTTCACATAGAAAAGATAGCATTTGAGATGAATTCTGAGAAATTCAAACCAAGTCTGAAACCTCTGACTGCAAGGCTTGAAAGCCAGTAAAATGTGTATTTTATAACTTTCCTGTACTTCCCCCAGACCAAATTCATCTATAAAATCCATACGTATCACATACTTTTTAAAAGTCTGATTAAATCCAAAATGAGGCTTGTCTCACCTTTGAAAATTTTTCATCTTCTATGACTGCCAATTTCTTTTTCTGCCTCTTATGTTCTTGTCTTCTCTCTAAAACACTCATAATTTTTTCATCAGTTAAGTTCTTCCTAAACTCACAGAACTGAGGCCAAAATTTAAACAGAACCCCAAAAATTGTCATCTGTGTAAAAAACAAAGTATGTCTCGGATTACAATTTTATACAAATGTACCAATTTAAACTCTAATTCACCATAATAATGGATTAACTATTCTATCTTTAATATACAGCATGTTTCCTCCAACTTATTGTCTCCAGACATCTTGGTATAGTTTCGCTCAGCACATGCTTATCATCAGTGCTTTTTATTACCAAGGAGAAGTCTTTCTTTAAAAAAGCCATACACTTAAAAGTCACTTTATTCTTTATGTATCCCTAACCAATTGACTGTATTAATAAAGAATCCATTAGGTCTTTTTAAATAAGAAATTTATGTTTTCTTTTAAAACATATACTAGTTGCTCTGCCACACACTCTGTTGCTGTATGCAAGTATTCCAAATATTCAGTTCATCAAGAGGAACTCCTCTCTGCCCCCTCTTTCTTTCTTTTAGAGAAAGGAAATACATCTTGCCTCTGGAAAAGTTCTTAAAGTTGCAGATCTAAGAATAAATCTTGAGTAACTTTTAAATGATATAATCTCTCTTTTATGTGAGAGCAAGAAGAGTAACATTTAAGTAGAGTGGTATCCTGGACAAATGCTTTCTATGAGGACACTTTACATTAAGTGATTAATTGTGATATTTATAGAGATAAGAACTGTTGCTCAAACCCATGTCAAGTTTTTCCATTAGTTCCAGAGGCATACGTTACTTCCAAGAAGGTAGAACTTGCCATATCAGATCAAGTCCAACATCTTGTTGCTGGGAATAGCCTTTACCTAATGCCCTGGCAATAAAGGAACCATCCCATTAGGCTCCAAGCCAACTCTTCAAGGGAAAAGAGGAATTTTTAACAAGTAAATGCTGCAACAGAGTCCTGAGTTGGTGCATTTCATTGCTCTTCATTTCTGTACATGAATACTGTTAGTAATTTCAAAATTATTTACTCTTTTTAAAATGTAATTTTGTCATTGAATTCTGTAGCCTCTTGGGATTATGAACATAAAAGCTATAGATATTTTAATGAAATGTAGCCTTTTAAAACATTTGCATTTACATCTACTTGCCATGTACTTAATGAAGTAATCCCCTGTCCCATGTAGTTTTTATATGAACTTAAATTTAAGTATTTCTCCTCCTCTATTTACCAACTATTGACCCTACTTTTCAGGTATTTCTCCAAAATCTGAGTTATTCGCAGCCCTTGAATATATTTATTTCCATCTAGGAGGCCTTCCAGCAAAAGTCAACCGATTAGGACACAATTTTTCCATGGCAGACAAAACTACTACAGAGTTGCAGTAATGATTTTAGGTTAACATACATGTTATTCCTGAAAATTACCCTGTACCTCCAGAACTGTAAAAGATAACCAAACTGTAAGAAAACATTTTAATAAACATAGAGCTACTTTGCTCACTGGCAGGACAGGGTAAATATCTTTAGTATGAGTCAAAAGGGTTGTGAAATTTGGCTGAAGAACGTTCAATCTATTAGGCGTGCAGGTAGGGGATAGACAGAGGATACACTGAAATTTTTGAAACAGGAAATAGGTTTTTTTTAATCTGCTATTCAGCCTTTTTGTGCAACTTTGCTCTCATTTTCAATTTGATCTTACTACTTTTTGTCAAGATAGTTCTTCTCAAGTCATTCATTCATATGTTAAAAAATGTTGTTGAGTGCCTATTCTGTGCCAGGCATTCAGGCCTCAAAGGCAAATAGGAAACATTCCCTGCCCTCAAAGAGCTTACAATCTAATGGGAAAGTTGGGTGTGAGATTAGTCATTTTCAATTTGGTGGCAAGTGTTCTGCCAGGGATAAATACTGCAGAAAGCTGAGCAGGGAAGAGAGTAAGGTCCCTTTACAGAACAACAAATATTTTCAGTAAGACAGGGAGATAGATGGCAGGATGTGGTAAGATATGTGCCTAGAGAGATATGTGGTGGGAGTCTGGTCTTCATTATGAAGACAATGGGGAATAATTGATATTGAAAACAGAGAAGTAACATGATCAGGTGTACATTTTGAAAAAGAAGGCTCTGTCTGCGGTGAGTTACACAGTTTCATGAGAGTCCAGAGGCAGGGAGTTGTGGTAATCAATGTGAGATGCTGCAGACAGGAACTGAGGTAGTGGCATGGGGTTGGAAAAAAGGTGACAAATGGCTAAGTTTTAGGACCGAAGATATGGGGATAAGGGAATGAAAGTGAGGAAGACATGATAATGGCAGCTAGATCTCTGGCTTGCACACCTGGGTAGCCGATGCCATTCTTTGAGCTTCCTCAGAATACAGAAGGAACAATGGACTTGGTAGGATAGGGCCCCTAAAGAAAGATTCTTTTATTCTCCACAGTCCATATTTAAGGTATGTGTAGGACTCCGTTTAAGGAAATCAGGTAGAAGACATAAACTAAAGGGCTCCAGTAAAGTTCACAGGCTGCAATCCTTGGACAGCATGGCCAACCTAACCAATGTAAGCCGCTCTAGACATTCACTGTCAGACTCAAGGTCTTCAATTTCAATGGGCCAGCCCTGACCTGGTTATCAAGAGGTGTAGGCTATGCTAAGTAATCTATAAGATCTTTTCATTAACAGATTCTGGCACCATGTTTTGTCTATTTCTCTTTAGCACATCCTCAATCATTTCTTTGTATTTTTGCCTATTTTAATACCTATTTAATTTGGATTGTGAATCCACTTTCAGTTCCTTAGAGGACTTAGAACACAGCTGGCTCACAAATGAATGTTAAGGAATAATGGCCTTTTTCCATACTCAAGGGCAATCATACCCTAAATCTCTGGTTCATATCACTTAGATCATGACATTGTCATCCCTATCACTCCTATTATAATTTATTTTTCTTAATCATTTTTCAGGAACAACAGTACTAAAAAGCTTTTCAAAATTCAAATAAATTATATTCACCAAATCACTGTTTTCTAATATTTATCTTAAAAAGAAGTAACTTGAGAGGGTTAACAGGCATGGCTTTCCTTTCATGAACTTGTGTACATTATGTTGGTCCAGTACTCAAATTTCCTCTCACTTAGTTTATGAGGTATGTGAATATTCCAGTCTTTAAAAATACACATTGGTACACACATACTTTACACATTTTTGTGGTAGCAGATTTTTAAAAGGAAATATGATGGGAACAGAAGGAAAAATTAGTTTGAGTTTTTTAAGTTAGCAACAAAAATGATAACCATGGAAAGTCAAAGTACAGTATTTAAATAATTGTATTTGCTGTTTATTATCATAAACAAAATACTAGTTTACTAATTTCCTATGTTCTGTGGCATCTGCAAAGATTTCTTTAAACAGAACAAATTGCAGTATTTGGAGGATCGGAGTCTTGCCAAATATGAATAACACAAAAGCTTTAAAAGAATATCTACATTGTCAATCTATTTTAAAGTACACTTAGTGACCTGCTCTGATCTCTTACCTGTGCCTCTCTAAATACATATGGTCCTAATTCCTTACTGTGTTCAATAATCTTCTGGGCTTGCTCTACAGGAATGTCAATTTGTAAAGCTGGTGGAATACTGGAATTAATAAAGCAGTTGATAATAGTCATGATCTTCTTGTGTATGATGGGCTCATCACAATGAGAATGGCACAAGTCCTGAACAAGAAAGAACAATATATGATGAAAACACATTACGAGAATACTTCATAGAATTGTGTCAATATGTCTTTCAGTTAATATGTACAATTTAAGTTCAGGTCAGGAGGGCATCGGAACTTGTCAAGGCTATCTTGAAAAATAATAGGTTTAATTTCTCTTGGGTTAGAGGGACCTAAAACATTGATGTATACACCTTACATAAATACAGGTTCATTTAATCCTGATTGCTGCTTCTCCTAGGTATAGGAACAGCTTTAGTGTCTATTTTGTCTCATTTAACAAATCTATATTGAGTCCCTGCTATATGGCAGACACTGAGTGAGCCCCAAGACAGAGTATCTAACCTTTAAAAGCTCAATCGCTTCTAGAGGAGAAGCATGAAAACATATTACTCCAATCTGAGATGGTTACTAGTAAATGCAATAGTCGAGGTATACCTAGGGTCATAGGAAAGCACTGATAACAAGCACCTAACTCAACTTATGGGTGGATGCAAAAACTTTCCCAGCCAGAATTGCTTCTACATAAAGTAGTTTAGGCTCAAAAAGGCTAACAACATAAGCAGGAATGCTGGTGGTGACAGGTGTGTTGTTATGTATCTCCTAGGATCTGTATTTTTTCAGTTAACCTATCACATTGTCCTCATAGCTAAAGAAAACAATAGTGATTAGACATTAAAAAGACCCAGTTTTACATTACAATGTAGGGTTATCATTCCTTACAATAAATACGTATCTTATTTTGAATTATGGCATTTCTCTGACAAAGACATTCTTCTTTAAATCATTAGAAAGCAAATAAATTTGGAAACTTGTACTTCTAGGCTAGAAATGAGCCAACATTTATGAAGTACCCAGTGTATGATGGGAACTGTACTAACTTTCTTATGAACACTGTTAAAGAAAGAAAAAATTATAGTGCTTGCACTGAAAGTTTATATATTGTTTGATGTAAAATGTGTGAAAAAAATCTTGATATAAATGCTACATTAAGACAACAGTTAGCATTTTTACTCAGTTTAGCAGCCCCTCAGAAAATGGCTATATATTCAACATGTTTGTTATGTTACCAAATTTTTTTTTTTGCTGTTGTTAGTGACATATATATATATAATTATTTGATGAGACTGGTTTATAATCATGGAATGTAAGGCTTGTGAAATAAAAATAAATTTGTGAAGTTATATATAGTTTTAATTTTCAGAGTGATGGGACAGAATCTAAAGATTCAGAACTGACTTTTTTATAATTGTTCTGCCATACTATACCATTAGCCTAATTAACTTCCCCCTATCATTAAGGTCTCAGTTCAAGCATACTTTCCTCCAGGAAGCTTCCTGTGCTCTCTCAGCACAGGAGAGAAGTCCATCTTAGGTTGTTTCAATGCACCCTGTGCCTCTTCCACCACTGCACTAATCATACTCTTATCAACTGTCTTGTCTATCACTTGTCTGTCCCTCCCATGACACTGTAAACTCTAAGAGGAAAGACAGTTTTGATCACGGTTGTATCCTCATGATTTAGCATAGCCCTTCGGTAGGTGCTCAGTTAAGTGTACTTCTTGGATGAATATTTCCTTCCAGTCTTTTCTCTTTGGATACACACATACACAAACACACACTTTAAATCATACTGTTTTCTAGTAGGTAGGTTTTAAAAGATCAGCGAGATGCATATCTTTTCCCATCATTGATTATTCTCCTACAACATTGTTTTTTAATGGCTACAGAGTATTCTATTTATCGCTAAGTAATCAATGTCCTGTTGCTGAATATTTAGGCTCTTCTCAATTTTTCATAATTCAGAATAAGTAAGATCACTGTAGATCAGTCTTTGCATATTACCATAATCAGTGCTGAGGGGGAGCATGACTGAGTGAGTAAGGGCATGAGCCTTAGCAACAGAATGCCTTGGTTCAAATTCCAGCTCTACCACTTAATTAACTGTATGATGCCAGGAGTTTCTTAACTTTTCTGTGCCTTAGCTTCTTCATCTCTAATAGGTGAGAATAATGGGTTTGAATTCACAGGATTCTGATGAAGAAATTAGTTATTACATGAAAAGCATTAAGACAATATCTGATAGGCAGTAAACAGTTAAGAAGTGTAAGCCATATCATAGTGAGCTCAACAAGACTGCCAGGCGGAATGCTTCCCACCTGGCAAACACCCTCAAGACCCAATTCAGGTATCATCACTCATTCTGAGACTTCCCCGACCTATCAACTGCCCTGCACATTCCCTCCTCTGTGCCAAAACTATACCTGGTTAGAACATGGATCACAGCCAATACACTTCCATGACATTTGTTCTCATGGATGTCTCCCCATCCCTCGGGGGAGTTGTATTCACTTTCTTGATGTGTTTATTCACTGTATTATTCAAATAATCTACCATAAAGGCTGGCACATTACTTAATAAATGTTTATTGAATGAACAAAATCACTCTGACAACATTATTTTAAACAGATACCTAGTATTAAAAGTCCTCCATTCTATACTACAAAAAAAAGGTATTTAAATGAAGACCAAAGGAATCCTTGAAGGAAAACAGTCACAAAAGTAAGTAAGGGTTGACTGTGTGTGCATCTAGGATTAGCTTATTTCCCAAGGTTCATCTCTTTACCTCTTGTCCTAGTAAGGCTCGGCTTGTTCATATTCATATTAGCTTGAAGATAGTTATCTCCACTCATAATAATTGCCTATTCTGGAAAACAGGCTCTACTTCCCTTCTAATTTCTAATTTTCAAAAAAAATTTAATATTAGCTACCTTGTGACAGATTCTGAAACAACTTATGTCAAAATATTATTTTCTGAGAAAATTTCTAAGTTTACAATAGTACAAAAACTGTTGATAATAAAAAAAGGTGGAAAACAGTTTCATAGTATGTTGGAGAAAGTTTGGAAATAGACTTTAGTAAGCAACTACTAACTATACAGAATATGAATGCTGCAGAGCATTAGTACTGTATAATTCATACTTACATTATAGGCCATTTGAAAGCATTATCCTCTTAAATTCCAGTTTTATTTTTTATTTTCCATTTTTATAATGGTACAAAACAGGCTGCTTGCAAGGAAATGAGCCTGCTACCCCTGGGAATATTTAAACAATGGCTGGATGCCTACTCATAGGTATTTCTAGACAACATTTCTGTATTCAAGTCTAAATTACATACCAGAAGTCCTTTCTTCCTCTTCAATGCAAAGATTTTACATGATTCCATTAAACCTGAAAATAGACTGTTTTTTCACCTAACCACTTGTTCTTTTGCTTATTTATTTTGTTAAGAATGTGGCTATTCTTTTGAGTAGAAAAACCTCTCTCATCTCTGTTGACTTATTTATCCATAATTCACTGTCTTTGATTACTATTGCTGTAAATATGGTTGGGAGAAATTCTTGTAAAGAGGTCTTGGTTAAAGTACTGAATATGGGTATGTTTAGAAAAAAAATGTATCTAGTACATTTATAGATGAAGGGGTATGCAAAAATACAGTTAAAACTCTTTTCAGGAAGGTTTTAATTAGATCACAATATATTTGAGTATGTTGAAAATACTAATACTATCCACAGATCAATGGAACAGGATAGAGAGCCCGGATATAAATCCACACATATATTCTCAATTAATATATAATAAAGTAGCCATGAATACACAATGGTGAAAAGACAGCCTCTTTACAATTGGTGTTGGCAAAACTGAACAGCTACATGTACGAGAATGAAACTGGATTATTATCTAACTCCAAACACAAAAGTAAACTTGAAATGGATCAAACACTTGAACGTAAGTCATGAAACCATAAAACTCTTAGAAGAAAATACAGGTAAAAATTTCTTGAATATAAACATGAGCAGCTTTTTCCTGAATATATCTCCTTGGGCAAGGGAAGCAAAATAAAAAATGAACAACTGGGACTACATTAAACTAAAAAGCTTTTGTACAGCAAAGCACACCATCAGCAGAACAAAAGGTAAACTACAGTACGGGAGAATTTATTCAAAAATGACATATCTGATAAGGGGTTAACATCCAAAGTATATAAAGAGTTCACACTCCTTAACACCCAAAAAACAAATAACCCAATTAAAAACATGGGTGGAGCATCTAACAGACACGTCTCCAAAGAAGAAATTCGGATGGCCAACAGGCTCATGAAAACATGCTCCACATCGCTAATTATCAGGGAAATGAAAATTAAAACCACAATGAGATATTACCTCACACCAGCTAGGCTGGCCAACATCCAAAAGACAAGTAACAACAAATGCTGACGAGGATGTGGAGAAAGCAGAACCCCTACACTGTTGGTGGGAATGTGAATTAGTTAATCCATTATGGAAAGCAATATGGAGGTTCCTCAAAAAACTAAAAATAGACATACTATTTCATCCAGTAATTTCACTCCTAGGAATTTACCTAAAGAAAACAAGATCCCTGATTCAAAAAATACATGCAGCCTTATGTTTATTGCAGCACTATTTACAATAGCTAAGATACAGAAGCAACCTAAGTGTCCATCAGTAGATGAATGGATAAAGAAGAGGCAGTACATATACACAACGGAATATTATTGAGACATAAAAAGAAAAGAAGTTCTACCATTTGCAACAACATGGATGGAGCTGGAGGATATTATGCTCAGTGAAATAGGCCAGGCAGAGAAAGACAAATACCAAATGATTTCCCTCATTTGTGGAGTATAAAAGCAAAGCAAAACTGTAGGAACAAAATAGCAGCAGACTCACAGACTCCAAGAAGGGACTAGTAGTTGCCAAAGGAGAGGGGTGTGGGAGGGCAGGTGGGGAGGAAGGGAGAAGAAGATTGAGCAGTATTATGATTGGCACACATGGTTGTGGGGGTCATGGGGAAGAAAGTGTAGCACAGAGAAGGCAAATGGGAAATAGTGACTCTGTGGCATCTTACTATACTGTTGGGCAGAGACTGCAGTGGGATACATACCACATCTTCTTTATCCATATCTACTGATGGACACTTAGGTTGCTTCCACATCTTGGCTATCGTAAATAGTGCTGCAATAGACATAGGGGTGCATATGTCTTTTTGAATCTGAGAAATTGTATTCTTTGGGTAAATTCCTAGGAGAATTCCTACATCAAATGGTATTTCTATTTTTACTTTTTGAGGAACCTCCATATTGCTTTCCACAATGGTTGAACTAATTTACATTCCCACCAGCAGTGTAGGAGGGTTCCCCTTTCTCCACATCCTCGCCAGCATTTGCTGTTCTTAGTCTTTTCAATACTGGCCATCCTAACTGGTGTGAGGTGATATCTCATTGAGGTTTTAATTTTCACTTCCCTGATAATAAATGATGTGGAGCATCTTTCATGTGCCTGTTGGCCATTTGAATTTCTTCTTTGGAGAATTGTCTGTTCATATTCTCTGCCCATTTTTTAATCAGGTTATTTGCTTTTTGGGTGTTGAGGCGTGTGAGTTCTTCATATATTTTGGATGTTAACCCCTTGTCGAGTATGTCATTTACAAATATATTATCTTATACTGTAGGATGCCTTTTTGTTTTGTTGATGGTGTCCTTTGCTGTACAGAAGTTTTTTAGTTTGATGTAGTCCTATGTCTTCATTTTTGCTTTTGTTTCCCTTGCTTGAGGAGATCCATTCAGAAAAAAGTTGCTCATGTTTATACTCAGATTTTTGCTTATGTTGTCTTCTAAGAGTTTTATGGTTTCATGACTTACATTCAGGTCTTTGATCCATTTCGAGTTTACTTTTGTGTATGGGGAAAGACAATAATCCAGTTTCATTCTCTTGCATGTAGCTGTCCAGTTTTGCCAACACCAGTTTTTGAAGAGGTTGTCATTTCCCCATTGTATGTCCATGGCTCCTTTATCATATATTAATTGACCATATATGCATGGGTTTGTATCTGGGTTCTCTAGTCTGTTCCATTGGTCTATGGGTCTGTTCTTACGCCAGTATCAAATTGTCTTGATTACTGTGGCTTTGAGGTAGAGCTTGAAGTTGGGCGACTCTATAGCATCTTACTACACTGCTGGACAGTGACTGCAATGGGGGTGGGCGGCTGAGGACTTGAATAATATGGGGGAATGCTGAAACCACAATGTTGTTCCTGTGAGACCTTCAAAAGATTGTATATCAATGATACTTTAATTTTAAAAAAAGAAAATACTATCATTCCAGGGCTCACTCTTAGTCTTCACTGAGTAACAATACATGTATCTAACATAGAAAAATAAACACCTCAGTAGTTACATATTGGTATGAATTTGGGAAAATTGGGATATCTTATAGAAATGTCTGTAAAGTTAATCTGTAATGCTAATGCATTTCTTCTTCAAAAAGAAGTAGTTTTTTGTAGTTCTCAATATAATACCTTATATTTTTGTACTTCTTGCCAAAAGAGTACCCCATTTTCCAATAAATCTCCTTTTAGAGCCACAAACTGTTGAAACTGTCTTGCAGTAACTGGATTCAATAATGCTTTACGAAAAGCAATGATTTCACTAGATGAGGATATCCACTTACTCTCCACAGGCTGTCCAAAACAGAGAATACAGAAAATTAGCTGTGCTCTAAAAAGTAATAATAAAGTCATTTATTAGGTTCAAAATTATCAACTTCTACTTCCTTTACTTTTGGCTGTTGAAATCTATGGCATGGATACTCAGAATCTGGCAAGATTTCCCCCTCTGTTCTTCTCCCCGTTGTCTCCCTTTATATTTTTATGCCATAATTTTTTTAATAGAAAGAAAGAGAAATGATTGGATGATTTAGAACATATGACTACAATGTTTAAGAATGTTAACAGTCATTACAGTTTGGGACTATGGTGAAAAACTACATTTTAGTGCATGAGTTCTGTGCTTAAATAGACAAAGTAATCACAATGTTATAATTATATATTATTATGTTATTATTATTTATTTTCTGATTACACATATTACATATATGTTAATATATAATTCTCTTAACTTATAAAAAGTAAAATAATCGAACATTTAAGACACTTTTTCAAAATTTTTAGAAAAAATTTACTGTGGAGCTTACTATAATTCTATAGGAAAAAAATCATGATTTTAGGTGAGACATCTTTATATTATTTTAATAACAAGACAAACTTTTAAATAATAAACTTTCTCTGACTGAAGATTCACTTTACATTCTAAAAAAAAACAGAAGGACCCCATTGTATTTTAATAATGCTATCTTCATAATTTGAAATATATATTTTTTACTTTGACCATTTTAGATCACATATTCATCCCCCTTCAGTATCTCAGACTAAAAACATAAGATGAATCTTATTGAATTTACTGAATAGATTTTTTTTTTTACTGGATGAATTTTATTAAAGTTCCCTAAATCTGAGTTTAGCCTAAACCATGCAAAGAAGCATCATTCCAAAGGCAGCCTTCTCAATGAACTTAGGAATTACAGTAACAGTCCATCAAAACCCATGCTAAACATCCAATGCATAAAATAAGTTTCTTGAAACAAATCCTACATGTTCATCAATGTGTTGAAGAGAATTATGTAAAAAGTACTATGGGAACACAAAAGGATGAGTAACTAATTCTGCCTGGAGGAGTAAAAACTTGACAGAAAAGGTCCTTGAGGATGACGTCTGAGTTGGAAACTGACAGGTGAAGAGAACTCCAGGCAGTCTAAATGAATAATGGTGCCTTTAACCCACAAAAAGTGAGTAGATGTCTATCAGTATTTTAGTGAATCATATGTTGTATTCTCTGGACAAAGAGTTAAGACTTACCATATGGTCCATATTAAAATTATAACCCTATAAATAGGCACAACTATGTATTAGACTGGTATGTTTATTTAAAATCCCCTCAGCAAATACTGTTTTAAGACCTGCTTCTTAAGATACTAAAGTTAGTAATTTGACTAAAAACCTGTAATTTAATTAAACTAAACTGAAAATAATATATGTTGCACAGTATGAAATATAAGCCCATTCTACCTATATTTCAGTAAAAAATATAGCAGAAGACAAACATAAGAACAGTTTATTACTTTTCAAAATGGAAATACAGAAAGAGAGCATCCTGATAGACTCATGCATGTCTCTAACAGTCAAATACAATTTTGTCTTTTTTGTTAGTTTGGAGGGGTCACCTGGGTCGAGTCTGACATTCTATCAAGACCTGTAGAAGGATGAATACACATAAATTTGAGCTTCAAGAAGACTGTGTTTATCATGCTTGTTAAGCAAAAGAGGCCATTTCAAGTATTATTCATATTATAGTGATTTAGGAAGTCACCAAAATGATAGTTATCTTAATTCTAAAGCTTAATTCTTAAAGCTAAAATGTAATTCTAAATAAAGAGAACAATGTCAGATAACTAAACCTGCCGATTCTGCTGCATTCTTCTCATTCTTTTTGTGTAATCCACTCTCAGTAATAAATAAACTACCACATGCTGGAATGAACAGCTTGTCTCAATAAAATCATCACAAGTAAAATAAATTTAAAAACATATTTAAAATTGAATCATACACTTCTAGAGTTTAGCAGGTTAAGGAACTCTTTGATAAGAGGGGTCTGGTAGAATTACACTTCCCCCAGAATCCATCAGCCAATTAAACAGTGCCAGCAGTGAGTTGATGGCTTATAAAGTGGTGTCTACAACAAGGGACTTTAAACAAGAAAAAAAAGAAAATACTCTGACAGAGTAAAACTTACAAAGGGAATAATATAACAAATATTACTTGCCTTCCAGACCCCAACTTTCCTTTCATGCTTCTGTAGTAAGAGCTCTTCAGTTATGTCTCTCATCTGTACCTAAAAGCAATACCAACTATTTTATCCCAGTTATTTAGAATGTCTGAAGTTTTGAAATCATTTACTAATTTAATAGCTTTAAAAAATGAAGTAAGGGTCATCATGGATAAAAGATCATGCAGTTCAGGAGAAAGAAGATCAGATTTAAAAATGGAAGCCCTACCCAGGTCCCTGGGCAAATCACTCAAATTCTCTAAATGTTTCCTCTTCTACAAAATTGAGATATTAATACCTGAGGGTTTTGCCCCCAAATGTAGAAAATAATTTCACATTAAAAATCTTCACTTTGGGTCACATGGAAACTAATGCTGGAGAGATAATTAGGACTTCAGATTTTTGTGCTCTTTTCTAGCCACAACTCTTTTAGAAGAGTACAAAAGTTATTCAATACAGGGAAGAAACACAGTAGATATTTCTTACAGTAACTGCCTGATCACAATACTTTCCCTTTTTTGGGAATCACTCTGGGTAAATCTGTGCTATCTGATGCCACCTCCCTGTCCATAGCAGACAGATGCAGGAGCTGACCTGGAGAGGCAGGAACTAGAATCACTGATGCTGAGTGTTTCTGACAGCCACACCCCAAAGAAGAGACCTGAGAATCCCTGCTGGGTTCCCAAGGCTGCCCTGGCCTGTGGCCTTTTTTAAGCTTGGGTATCAACTCTTCTCCTAAGAGTGTGAGAAACTCCAGCACCATTTTATAATGAATTATCTCCCTTCTCTTTTGTCTTTGGCTTAAGGTTGCCAGAATCACTGTAAGTTATTGACCACACAAAGAATGCTAAGTCAGGAGATGGCTATTAAGTAACAATAAAATTACTGTGGAAACAGTGAAAAAACATAGTAAATAACATTAGTAAAGCAAGTATCTTTTTACTTGGCTTTGGATAGAGAATTAGAGCTAGCCTGAAGAAATGAAATGAGGAAATATGAGTTGTTACAAAGCTTATTTCCAGGAACTTTTTGCTTAAAACAAGTCAACTCTTCTCCATATTATAAATTCTATTTTCCCAAATGTACTGTGTTTCCATAACTTAAGGTGCTCAGAAGACTAAGAGTATTCCCAGGATAAGTAAGGTTCAAGGTGTTTGATAAACTGACCATGGAGGGCAGCTTTTTAAATTTTCCTGATGAATATTAATACCATATGCTTTATATACTAAAGTCCAAAATCATGTGTTCTCTGCTCCCTGGATAATTGTTGTAAACATCAGGTTTGCCTGTTTTTAGGTGTGAGAGTTTTAAATTATCACAGTAATACATACTTCTTATAAAATAAAAGAACAAAATCGAACTTTATAAAAGCAAAAAGTCAAAATCCTTCTCATTCCCCAGGCCTCTTCCCTGGAGATAAATCCTTTCAGGTATTTTTCATAAACATAAATATAGATAGATAGATAGATAGATAGATAGATAGATAGATAGATAGATAGACAGATAGATAGACAGATAGATATGCATAGACCGACAGCATAGGGATATAAGTATATATAATAAGTACATATAATGATCTTCTATACAGTGTTCTGCATCCTGCCTATTTCACTCAACAACACCTTTCATATCAGTACATATAGAAATCTCATTTTTATAGTCTCATTTTATATGGAAATCTGCATAGTTTTCCATAGTATATAATTATCATAATTCATTTAACAATTTCCCCTTGTACATCCTTGCCTAATTAAGTAATTTAAAAAATAGTAACTATACTAGTAGATAATATTTGAGTATTTTTTGTATGCCAGGCATGATGCTAAAAAACTAAACATACATTATTTCATTTTATCTTCACAAAAATCCTATGAAGCAATTACTGTTATTAACATATTTTTTAAATGAGAAAAGTAAGGCTATAAAACTTAAAGCAGTACAATTAATACGTGGCAATGCCGAGATTAACACTTGGTTAGTCTGACTCGATGCTCTTAACCACCATGCCATATCGGTGGCTGGATCAACAGGTACGCACATTTGATGTTGTGAGAGATACTGTCAATTGCCATCCAGTTATACTAACTTACATACCTTTATCTTCTGGCGTGCTGCAAACTGTTCACTTGCAAGAAACAATGGCAGCCATACATTTTCTAGCCTATTTAGGACATGTTTCTGAATTTCAATTAGAACAGGTGCATCAAGTTGCTCATGGAGAATCTTTCCCCAACCACCACTTAAATTCATTATCTAAGAAAATAAAAATGAAACAGAAAGTACAAACTTCTATTTTGATAAAGAAACACTAATAGTCATTGATTTATTCATTCACCCCCAAAAGCATTTGCTGAGTACCAATTGGTGCCACGATTTTCATTTTCTATAAAATATCTGCTGGCTATATTACATATAGTAAAGAAAGACAATGCCCCTAACATCTAACAGAACTGGTTTCTGTGATGGTTGTTTCTGATGTATGATTTTGCTTGTGATATATTTCAAAGAATAAAGGAGTGAGTTCTGAGAATTTACACAAAGGAAATAAAATTACTAATTCAAAAAGGTACATACCCTCCTATGCTTATTACAGCATTATTTACAATAGCCAAAATAGGGAAGCAAGCTAAATATCCATCAATAGATAAATGCATTAAGAAGATGTAGTACATATATACAATGGAACATTAGTCAGCCAGAAAAGATAATGAAATCTTGCATTTGTGACAACATGGATAGACCTAGAGGGTTAAATGAAATAAGTGAGACAGAGAAAGACTAATACCACATGATTTCACTTATAGGTGAAATCTAAAAAACAAATCAAATGAACAAACACATCAGAGACAGACTCATAAATACAAACTGGTGGTTGCCATAGGAGAGAGGGAGTGACAGAATGAACAAAATAGATGAATGGGATAAAGAGACAAAAGCTTCCATTTATAAAATAAATAAGTCACAGGGATGAAAAGTACAGCATAGGGAATATAGTTAATAATATTATAATATCTTTGTATGGTGACAGTGACTACACTTCCTGTGGTGAGCATTTTGTAATGTACATAATTGTTGAATCACTATGTTGTATACCTGAAACCAATAAAATATTGTATGTCACACTTCATTAAAAAAATAATACTTCAATTTTTTAAAAAAGTCATCACACATACAAATAAAATACAGGAGTGGGATTCTTATCTTGTGCAACCATAAGCAATGCCATTTTTTCCCTCCATGGCCTCAGTATCTTCAACTGTAAAATGAGAGCATTATTGTTGTCTATTAATTTTCTAAGTTCTCTTCTAGGTCTAATAGTCTGAGATTCTGGTCAAACTGACTTGTTTAAGAAAGTATTTTCTTTTCTGCATGAGGAAAATGAGGCATTAATGATTTAAGAGACAACGTTGAGTCAGATATTATAAATACGTATATTACCAACAAACCCTGGGCTGGAGATGGTGGGATGACGGTGGTGGTAGCAATGTACGGCTATACTGACAACTTCAGAGAAGAAACCAGAGGCAGTAGGAAACAGAGAAAGGCTAGGTCACACTACAGACACTAGTCTCGCTTGTACAGGTAAAACTGTTATAAAACATGATTTCTTTGTGGCTCAAATCTTCCTTCTGCATAATTGTTGACTTTAACAAGCTACTAATAGCTATTTCCTGCTATAAGTCATTCTGTTTTCTACCTGTTCCTGTGTACACACCACTCAAATTTTTGGACTCCTCATTGGAAAAGCTACCTTCTTCTTGGCTCTCCTGTGATTAATAAGATTAATCAAATCCAACTAATAATAATATCATTTTACATGAAAACAAAAGAGAAACCCTCTTAGCCATCCTTTCATTATATTTATCAAATAATATTAATAATAATACTGCTTTGTATTAAAAAAAGAAGAAAAAAGAAAAAGAGAAAAGATTACTTTGCTAATCAAAGAGCAAACTGGCCACATAACTGAAATTAGAACTAGCATGATCTCTATAAAACACAATGTTATGCAGACATCCTTACGTTCACAGTAAGTAAACAAAAATAAAAGTAAAAACAAAGATGAAGAAGAAGGGTCATTGGGAAAAATGCTCTGTAGTAAGCACAACCATTAGCTATGATAACAATGGATGACTTTTTCCACTTTTAAGTTCTTAGCATGTTATACTATGGAGGGTTCACACAGTAGCATCAGATACCACAAAACCTCACACATGTAACACAAGCCAAATAGAAAACAAATGTTTTCCATGTGTTTATTTCATACTTGTGCTTATTGAGATACCCAACCACATTTGCTAATACATCCCAGATTTGCATCTCAGGGAACTAATGGCAAGGCATTTTTGTCAAGGTTGCTTAATTCTAGAATTTCTTCTCCCTCTTACTCCCAAGGACTTTGGCTTGTTTTCCCCACAAAGATCTAGTTTTTTATTTTGCTATGCCCTACTTGTGAACACCTCTGAATTTTATAATTTACTGAATTTGGCATTAATCTGAGATTTGTATTTTATAAATTATGCCTTTAGAATATGTATTTTTTAAACTACCAATACAGAAATCAAATGCTATACATTTGGTTTCTGTGTGGTAATGTAGTACTAGCAAACTTCAAATTAAATAAGTTATAACACTTCATTCTTTATATTTCAAAAGCATAAAAATTGAGTCATATTTCAAGTGTTAAAAGTGTTATATGAACACTCAAACCCACAGCTGAATCCCAACCTGACATTTTTCCTGTAAAAAATGACATCATATAGTCATTAATAAGTGTGATTAAGGCCATATGACTGTGGTACAAAATGGCCAGACCTATTCTTCTGGTCAATGAAAATAGTTTCTGGGGATAATGCAACAGCTGACATGATTTTTTGAAAATCATTGTTGAAGTAAAATCAGTTAAGAGAGCAGAAAAGAGGTAGAGACTGGGATTAATAGCTGATAATAACTGTTTTCCTCCTTATTTAAATATACAGTGACTTTGTTTCCCTTGTTCACCACTTATCCAAACCTAGAATATCACAGGCACTCATATTTACTGAATGAATGGGTAAGTGGATGTTATTTTTATTCTGTAAATTTCTTTTTAAAATAACAGTTTTTATAATATGATGCTTGAGTGAATTTTAAAGTTATTTAATTTGTAGATACTTATGAATACCTAAAAAAATAAGATATCAAAAGCATCTAACATATAAGTCACAAAAGCAAAAGAAAAAAGATAACTTTATGTCATTGTAAAGTAGAAATAAATTACTGGTTTTCATACTTCAATATAGGAAATATGTTTACATGCTGATACCTGGTTCTGCTGATTCAGAGAAGCTGGACTGTTGGGTCCGAAGAAATATCTTTTATTAAGGTATTTGTTTTTAATATGTATAGATTTTGCCTCCCTTTGCTTTTGATCTCTGCAAATTATTCTTCGGAACTGTTCAATGTCCGTCCAGCACATAAGATCCATGCTAAAATGAAAACAAAAGCAAAGTACAGTGCTTCATATTTATTCCTCTCAGTTGTACTAAACACCAAACAAGTTGTTGTTTTGACAGAACTTAGAAAGTGCTTGTCTTGACCAGTAAGCACAAGTGATTAGACCATGGAACTAATGAGCAAACTGTCTCTCCTAGCTGAATATATGAATGAATACAAAACATACTGAAAGAAAAGAATCTACCTCCATTATTGGTAGGGTCTCAAAGTTTTTCCATTAATGATAAACTAAATAATACTGTCAACTTCAAATATGGCAAAATTTCCACTTATTCCATGTCTGTTTGGCAACATGTGAAGTTTTAGAGTAGTCTTCATCACAAAGAAGGGTAACTATATATGTGAAACGTGGCCCCTAGGCCTAACCAGTTTCTGCTAAGTTTGGGGAAAAAATACTGGAAAAAGAATATGATCAATACTTCAGTTTATATCTGATAAATGTGTCATAATGGTCCAATATTCTGTACAAAACTTCAATGTTTCCTTTTGTATTAACTAATAAAAATTACAAAATATTAACAGTAATCCTAACAGCTTAGTGAAATATAAAAGAGACACTTCTCAGAAATACTTATTAAAGCACCTGTCTTAAAAAATACAAAAGAAAGAAACAGCAGAAAAGAGAAGGAATTAAATACCCTGGTGTTTTAATTTAACAATTATTGTTTGACTGCTTGAAATAACATTTGGAGGTGGAGATTATCAAAACATAACTC